ACTCTAATACTTGAATATCATACTTAATGTTAACAAACAATATCAACTCTAATACTTGAATATCATACTTAATGTTAACAAACAATATCAACTCTAATACTTGAATATCATACTTAATGTTAACAAACAATATCAACTCTAATACTTGAATATCATACTTAATGTTAACAAACAATATCAACTCTAATACCTGAATATCATACTTAATGTTAACAAACAATATCAACTCTAACAGCTGAATATCATACTTAATGTTAACAAACAATATCAACTCTAACAGCTGAATATCATACTTAATGTTAACAAACAATATCAACTCTAATACCTGAATATCATACTTAATGTTAACAAACAATATCAACTCTAATACCTGAATATCATACTTAATATTAACAAACAATATCAACTCTAACAGCTGAATATCATACTCAATGTTAACAAACAATATCAACTCTAATACTTGAATATCATACTTAATGTTAACAAACAATATCAACTCTAATACCTGAATATCATACTTAATGTTTACAAACAATATCAACTCTAATACCTGAATATCATACTTAATGTTAACAAACAATATCAACTCTAATACCTGAATATCATACTTAATGTTTACAAACAATATCAACTCTAATACCTGAATATCATACTTAATGTTAACAAACAATATCAACTCTAATATTTGCTCCTGAAAAAGAAAGGTCCACCTTTCAAAAGTGCTCGGGTTATAGGGTTTTTTTTATTCAATAAATAAATATCATACTCACTGTTAATAAACCGTATCAACTTTCATTTTAATACATTGATACATATTTAACACATATTCCAAACCCACCTGTTTTATGCTGAAACAGTCAATCATTTCAATAAGTTTTGGGTTGGCACTGATGTCTTCTGGTCTAACCCATTTATTGAAGTTATTTTTCTGTTTATGAGATAATGTCAATTTTCCATCCTTGTCGGAGAAAGGCAGTGGATAAGCATATCGTTCACGCAGATCCACCAACATAAAGGGCACGTATTCCCTTCCGTTGATAATTGATGTTAGTCTGATTTGAAAATGAAGATTTGTGCAAAAATTGAAACTATAATATCGAAGATAATGTTTAAAATTTGAATGAAAATAAACATTATACAATACTGTTATATATTATTTAAATGCTAACTTTTTCCTTTATACAAATTTCATACTTTATTTGTGTTGTATTTTCTATGTTTTATACGTACTGCATACTTAATAAAGTTACTACGTATACAGTCTCTAAATAACTACTTGAATAAAATTCTTTAACTCATCAAGGTCAAAATTTTCCATCAAATGTTCGAATCTGATATTTATCGTATTTCAGTGACAAACCTCAGCACCTCCAATTCTTCTTTAGTGTACGTATCTCGGCCACAAACTTGTGGTCCAGTTTGACGAGATGATTGGCTTCCTTCGGATGACGATGATGACGTGTTTAAACTGAGACTACCTATCCCAAGAGGAGGAACAACACGGGATCGAGAAGGTAAAGGAGAAACAGGCTTAGTTGAAGTCAACAGTGATGGCTCGCCTTTCTTCTCTTTTACACCTTTCAAAGCCTCTGCTCTGAAACAAAAACAATATTTCTTATATCATTAAAAACTACTACTTTGGTGTGTTAATGAATGAATTTAAATTTTATTTATGAAGGTCTTCAAATATTTTAGTACCAAATTTGGCCACAAGGAGCCTGAACCATTATACAATGGGTTCTTTAAAAACTTTTTCATATAATATAATAAAACTAGCTTATGAAGTCTGTTTAGAGTGAGAAAATAGCGTACAGTTTACTTCAGGAATCTCCAAAACTCGGTTCAACAGCCATACGAACGAAACTCCTTTTTCAAAGTGTTACTTAAGAAAATCAAAACCTGACTATTCAAGAAAATACTACAACTTTGCTTGAACAAAATTTAGGAACATTTGAAGACATAACAGCGAAACTTTTTTCAACGATATGTTTCACAATAACAGTCTTACTTTCTAAACCTTATCCTACACATTCTAGGGATTGTTTTAAAATAAAAATCTCACCTTTCTAAGGCCTGTTCTGCAAGCTTCGTCAGGTTTTTCTGTAGTGCTGCATCCTGGGTCTGTTTTCTCTTTAAAAGAAACAAAAGTGAATATCACTGGCTAATACAAGGAATTCCAAGGTAAAAATAATAAAATCATAGAAGAAAAAAAATCTAAGCCAAAAACTTGATTTGGTACAAAAAAACTTTTTGTTGTTGTTAATTATAAAAGTTTAAATGTGACAGCTGAATCTAGTTGTTGTTTTCTTGCCTTTGGTTTAACACAAAAATGTGCAACAGGCAATCTGTACCATGTCTGTTACAGTACCAAATCCTAATTTTAGCATTATAAGCCCTTTACTTTACCATTTAACGTTTTTTGTGGGAGGGGGGGATCACATGTAGGTAGCTCAAATCTACAACAAATTAACTGTTTAATAAATGCTATGCTGTAGGTAGTCGTAATGTCTCATTTGTGTCGATTCAGTGTTACCTATTCTTCAATATGAGCATCAACGTGGAAACTGTTTGTTTGTTGTTAAGCACAAAGCTAGACGATAGGCAATATGTGTTGTGTCCACCAGGAGTATTGAAACCCTGTTTTTAGCATTATAAGCCTTCAGACTCAAGTTGGAAGGTCTGATATTTACAAAATCAGATATTATGGCTACCAAAAAAAATTCATTAATACTTCATTTATCAGTACTTCATTTATCTTTATGTTTTAAAGTCCTAAACACTAAAGAAAAATCTAGAGTAACTTACAAACCAAGATTAAAAGAATTATTCAGAAACGTCACTAAGCACTTACCTGGATTTCAAGAATAAACAAACTAAAACACTACATTCTCTACAGCTTTCTCAAAGAAAAATTAACCACCAAAAAAATTGAGTATGTTACTTACTCGATACTGTTTAATTAAGAAAGAAATCACAAACTGATCCATTTTCAACCACTTAAAGTTTGTCTCTAGGGTATTAAATACCTTAGTTCATTCTCTAGATTGAATAAGTTTTCACTGATGAAAAGATACAATGTCATCACTCGTAATCATTAAGAAACTGATAACCCTGGTAGCTTTCATCATTTTGGTTAAGTCTTACTGATAAAAATAAATCACATCACTCGTCATCGTTAAGAAACTGATAGATAACCTTGAGTTCTTATTGATAAAAAAATACAATGTCATCATTAAGAAACTGATAGATAACCTTGAGTTCTTATTGATAAAAAATACAATGTCATCATTAAGAAACTTATAGATAACCTTGAGTTCTTATTGATAAAAAAATACAATGTCATCATTCATCATCATTAAGAAACTGATCTTCTTGATAACTTTCATCATTTTGAAAAAATCTGGTTAAGTCTTATTTGTAACATCCTGGGATATGTTTCAGTATTTCTATCGTCTCTAATATAATAGTTTCATACTGATATTTATGTCTTTCTTATCTTGGTTGTTATTGGTAGACCACAAGTTTCTCCACACCTTTACTGGTGTTATCTGAGAACACTCTTACTAGTGCTGTCTGAGAACACTTTTACTAGTGTTGTTGGAGAACACTTTTACTAGTGCTGTCGTGAGAACACTTTTACTAGTGCTGTCGGA